GCACCGTCTGGTGCATCGAGTAAAGCGCCCGCACAGGAATGTCATAGCGGTCCGTCATCTCCGATTCAGGCACCAGAGCATCAATGCCCGAGTCGAGTTTGCCGTCGATGTGGTCGTCCGTGATCCGCTTGATGGAGATTGGTACCACCATGCCCTCGTACAACGTATCGCCCGTTTCACCTGTGAACATGGTGAAGATCTCATCCGTCTCCAAGAACACATACGGCTTCCGCAATTCCTCGTAAGGTTGCTGCAATTCGGCGCGAATGGTCTCCAAGGTTGCCCGCTTCCGCTGATTCAGGTTCCGCTCCAGCTGCTCGGCGTATTCTTCCAGGATCAGATCGTTCACACGATCTTGTGCTTCCTCACGGAACAATTTCCGCACAATGGCTCCTGGTCCGTTCTCGTCCGTCTCCGCCTTGATGTCCTCTTCGTCCAACTCCAGGGCATCAGCTGCCATCTTGCGAGCAATGTCGTAGTCTTCTGGGTGCACACGGGTGTTGTCCAGAGGATCCGCATCAGGGTCCGCGTTTTCATAGTCAATATACAAGAAGCTGGCACAGTTATTCCACACCTTGATACCCATGGCGGGATACTGTGCGTTGACACCCAGAAGTTCCACACGGTTGTTCACCAAGCCCCCGTTCATGTTCACAATCTTGAGAAGGTGGGCCGCTTTGCGAGGACCAAGACCACAGACGTAGGGAAGCAGGTTGGCCGTCGCCGTATCGGAAACTGCTTCGTTTAGGTCGACACCAACCAGGTTTACCATGTCCACTAGCGCAGTCTCCAGTTGCTTCGTCAGCAACTCCTGAGCGACCAGCTGCTGGCCAGGCTTGAACTGAATCGAAACGACATCCCGGCCCAGCGATGCATACTCCTTAAGCGGACTCTGGAGGTACTTGGCGAGGGCAACGCAATAATGCGTCAATGGAGCAAATCCAGGATGGTCCCTTTTAGCTCGCTCGCTGTGCTGATACAACCGTGCAACCTCGTCATTGACAACCACCACTTCCAGGCGGTCGCTGACTTCCTCGTCGCGGTCGTCGGTGTATGCGGCCCCGCGCAGATCCTTCTGGTCAATAACCTCTGCCAGCAGTTTGTACAGCTTGCGCGCCTCCGGAGACATTCCGGAAACTGCAATGACGTCGGGTCGCCGTCGATCCACCACATCCACAAAACCCTTCACGTCCTTGCCATCCGGGATAGCACGATCCCGGTCACCGATCGATAGATCCGTGAATTTACCATTCTCCAACACTCGCCCGTCCTCTTCAATGTAGGCCCAATGGATAGGCTCCCGACCGACAATGCCGGATCCCGTCGAAAGAGCCAACACGCGAGGCACTGTTCCCAGAACCATACCCTTGGGCTTGTAAGGAGCTTGATCCAAGCGCTGGGAGAACGCTTCCCGGCATTCCTTGGCCACGTGGTTTTCGCATTCTTGCCGGATATTTTCCTTGACACTGCGATTGATCAAGCGCTCCAGCTTGCCCAAGGCCATGTCCAAAACATCCCGACGTGCTCGGTTCCAGGCATCGGCGATCTCACTGTAATTATCCGACTCGATATCCGGGTACAGCCGTTGCCGGAAGTGTTCAAAGTTCTCGAAACGCACCTTGACTTCCACCAGGCCTTCCTCTTCGGCCTTGAGCATGCGGAGATAGAGCTCTGGTCGACGAGCAATATCGATAAGTTGCTGGTTCCGTAGATACTTGAACTCGTAGTAGGGATGGTGTTCGTCGATTCTCCGCAGACCCTTTTCAGTCCGGAAGCAGTCGACTGCGCCGTTCATGTAGTAGGCTTGACGGATTACCTTGCGCACCTTGGGGCTCAGCGCCAGCTCCTCGGCGAACATGGCTTTGGCAGCCTTGACTACGTGAGAGGAGTTGGAAAAGTCGCTGTCCAGAAGCCCGTCCGCCAATTCATCTGGCTGCACAGCGGGGTCCTCGGTATATTGACGACGGCCTTGCTTCATAGCGTTTTGTGCAAAAGCATCCGCTGTAATACCAAAGGCGCGCACAAACTCGTAGGCTCTGCTGTTGCGTATACGCTCGAAGAATGAATTGCCCGAGGCTTTACGGCGGTGCACATCGCCATTGGCGTCACCGTTCGCCAAAGTCATGTCGCGTAGCTGTGTTGCATACTGGAAGTGGATGTGGTCCTGGATATCTTGCAGCTCCTCCATGGTGACAGCGACAGGGAGCATCTCCTCGATCACAGGATCATTCACGTCGAACAGGCTCTGTAGGTTGTCATACGCTTTTTGGATGGTGCTCCGCTTGTCTACCAGCGCCCTGAACTTGAGGTCATAATCAAAAATGTCCCAGAGATCTGTCATGTTGAGCAGCTTTTCAGCCTGGATCTTGTATTGTCCGTCCCCATCCATTGCTCCGTCTGTGGGCACTTTGGCTGCATGGATCATGTAATCCTTCCGGTGCTGAAAGATAAACGGGACCTCCCAGTCGTCTGTAACGAGAAGCTCCAGCACTTTAGCCACGGAACGCTGGAACGGCTCATGCAAATCGGGCTCAATGCGTTTCTTGAGCAGCATGAGGTTCGATATCCAGCCTGCCTCCTCCCGGAACTGGTCATCTGTCAAGACAATGTGTGTATAAGGTTTGCGCGAGAGCTGATGGCGCTCCGGTTCATCAGCCAGACGAATATGATTGTCATCCTCGGTCAACATCTTCTCGGCCAGCTGCGACGGCTCGAAGACATCTTTCAGGTCCAGATGCCTCTCTTCGTGCTCCTCCTGCTCATCTTCCTGGTCCTCCAAATCCAGGGCAAAAGCATACTCGTTGCCGTCACCGAACGCAGCACGCATGTCTTCCAGCGCGTTCTCGTCCAATCCCGCCATATCAGAGGGGCCTAAGCCAGTAACGCGAGGCTTGGGGCGGGCAATTTCGAGATCATCCTCCCGCTCCCGCTGTATTTGTTCGTCGTCGGAGAAGACATCTTCCTCGATGAAGTCGTCCATCTCATCGCGCATTGGTCGCCGAGGTCGAGCATATTCGCCTGCTGCCTCTTCTTCTTCATCTGAGTTGAACATGTCATCGATGCCACGGGACGGTCGGGGACGGTCGCGTTCTTTGTGGCCACGCTTTAAGCGCTTGAATTTGGACTGTAGGCAACGGATTTTTCAGGTTAGTCCTGGTGACTTGTAGGATAGGGGATCAAACCTAGACATACCTCTGAAGCGACTGGGGGTTGCACAGCTGGGTTGAGCTCCCCAATCAATTCCAAATCTTCCTCATCCAAATTTTCATCTTCACGCTCGCGTTCTTCTCGCCGTCGTTTCTTCTTCTCTTGTCGGCGTTGGGCGCGGTCTTCAATCTCTTCGTCTTCGTCGACGATGAAACCTTCTTGGACCTGAGTTGGGTATCAATATTATAACTCCAATGATTCACTAATTGTTGAACTAGCGCGACCTACCGCGCGAGCTGCTTCCTCGTCATCTTCTTCTTCGTCCTCCTCGCTCGAATCATTTGCATAGCCTCTCTGCGGCTTCGCAGGACCTTCCCGGACTTCCTCATCGTAATCATCTGGAAGCTCCTGCTCATTCTCCTCATCATCGTCCAGCATGGCCTCACCCTCGATGAATTTGTTTGCGCTCATTTTTGGTATATTCGTATTTAAGAGTGGTTCGGTAAAGGGAGTCTTGACAGAATCGAAAGTTTTCGGAGGCAAACAGGGAAAGGAGAGGAGGAATTAAACCGGTTATCAGGCAGGACCGGCAGAAGCGACAAGAGAGAAAGAGGGGGGAAAGAAAAAGAAGAGAGAGAAATTGAAGTGGATGGCAACAATAAGAGGGATTCCTGGCCGCTTTCCAGCGCGAGTTCAAGAAAGAGCTGCTGTGGCGCCGTGTTGCTTTCACCGCCCGGGACGTGGAGGTGCAGCTAACTGTGGCTTGGTGATCACGTGTATACTGTCTATCATGACTGTATTCCTCAGGTGTATCAGATGTTTGAAGCAGTCTACATGAAAAGTATACCTGTATAGATATGCAATTGTCTCTCGTGTTGAATCCGTTTTGCTTGCTGGTCTGAGGCACGAGTCCAGAGTACTCCATTCAGCCATACGGAGCGAAGATACTTTGCACCACTCCTCCAACTTCTATAGCTTCAAGACTACATGACATTCTCCAATTACAATTCTATCGTCTCCTCTTTGCAAAGTAGTAAATCTATCACTTAATATATCTGCGTCCTTCTCGAAGTATCAAAAGTCAATTGTGCGGATTTGCACCCACCAAAACCTCCGTCTTGTTTCATCGTCGCACCATTGAGTCTTCTCTTTTTTCCTTTCGTCCACCTCCTTCTTTACAGCGTAACAACAATAAATAGAACTCTCTCTCTTTATTCGTCTGATCCCATGGAGCCTTGATTCCCTATTCCGGCCTCCCTGGTCCTCTGGTCAGCACGTGTCTCGCGATATATCTTGAACAGGACTGCTCACGTTCAGTCAACTTCCAGTCAACTTCTCAGCGCCTTAGGATCTCTCGTTCTTCTTCCACCGGGATATCATTTGTCGTCTTCTCGTGTCCACAACGGAATCGTGGAGCAGACAACTTGATTTTCGCAGCCTAAACGCCCGAGTGCGCTTAAGTCCCCCACCCAGTTATCGTCGGCGCTTTCTCCCTCCCTCCCTTCCTCTCTTTCTCTTTTTTACCTCTTGGTTCTTTTTTTTTTTTTTTTTTTTTTTTTTTTTTTTTTTTTTTTTTCTCTCAATCTCACATTCAATCCCTTGTTCTGATACTTTCAATCATCTTTTTCTCCCCGATCTCTTCTCGGGGCCACTTTCCCCAGCGATTGACTACTCCATCCGTGGTCTTGCGCTGCCCCTCCGTCCCACGATCTATCATCGGGCGCGCCCGCTCTCCGGGGTTATTATCGCTTAACTGCTATTTATTCTCTCATCTCCTTTCGTCCTTCTTTTCTTACTTTCCCCTTTTTCGTTTCTCTCTCCTCTGTCCCGCGACAGAGCGTTTTGTCGCCAACATGGCCGATTCATTCAAACCCCGAACGCTGAGGCGCAAGAATGTCAAAGGCCTCGCCCTGAATGCCGCCCCCAAACCCGAAACCCCCCAAGATGGCGATGCTCAGGCCCCCGGCGCTGCTGGGAACTCGGAAACCCGGACGGATACCTTGGAGATTGGTCTGGAATTCCGGTTGGATCTCCGGAGTGAGGATCTGGTCGTGCTGAAGGAACTGGGCGCCGGTAATGGTGGAACTGTGTCCAAGGTCATGCACGCTTCTACCAAGGTCGTCATGGCTCGAAAGGTACGAGTTATCACGCTTTGCAATTGCGCCCTGCGCTATGTCGTTGACATTTGATTTTTGTATGTCTAGATTATCCGCGTGGATGCCAAGGAAAAAGTAAGGAAGCAGATCTTGCGGGAGCTGCAAGTTGGACACGACTGCAACTCTCCCAACATCGTCACCTTTTACGGAGCCTTCCAAAATGAAGCGAGGGATATTGTGCTGTGTATGGAGTACATGGATTGCGGGTGAGTTTCTGCGATGTGGCTGCAAGCGCCGGATTTTCTCTGACTGCTATCGCGTGCGAAAACAGTTCTCTCGATAGTGTCGCCAAAGACTTTGGCCCAGTTCGCGTTGACGTGCTAGGAAAAATCACCGAGTCGGTTCTGGCTGGTCTGGTGTACCTCTACGAAACCCACCGTATTATGCATCGTGATATCAAACCGTCCAATATCCTTGTCAATTCGCGAGGCAATATCAAGCTCTGCGACTTTGGTGTTGCAACGGAAACCGTCAATTCCATTGCAGACACATTTGTTGGCACCTCGACCTACATGGCACCGGAGCGTATCCAAGGCGGTGCTTACACTGTGCGGTCGGATGTTTGGAGTGTGGGATTGTCGGTGATGGAGCTGGCTGTTGGTCGATTTCCCTTCGATTCAACGGATACGGCCGCAGGAAACCGTGCCAGTGCTGGGCCAATGGGTATTCTTGATCTTCTGCAACAGATTGTTCATGAACCCGCGCCCAAGCTTCCTAAAAGCGATGCTTTCCCTCCTATTTTGCATGAATTCGTCGCCAAATGTCTCATGAAGAAGTCAGATGAGCGACCAACGCCTCGGGAGCTTTATGTACGAGCAAGTCCTATACCTAGAAAAGGAACAAGCAAGAAGGCTAACACTTATTTGCGTTTAGGACCGAGATGCGTTCCTACAAGCCGCCAAGCGAACCCCCGTCGACCTCGAAGAATGGGCCGTCAGCATGATGGATCGACACAACCGAAAGTCATATCTAGGACCTGCGCCGCCAAAGTCCCTCAAGGATAAAGAGAAGGAGAAGGAGAAGAGGGAGAAGGCAAGGGAGAATGAAAAGGAGAAGAAGGAAAGCTCCCGCCCTGCCCCGCCGCCTAAACCAGCTCCCAGCCAACCTTCTCGCCAACCGCATCCCACTCCTCCTTCTGGCGAGATTCCGCTGAGCATCAACGACGCATCTAGCCGATACAACTATGCTCCGTCCAGCTCTTCCTCCCACTCATCTCGATCAACCCGTTCCCCGCTCGACCAAGCGCCTCTGGTGACAAGAGATGATGACCCTCGTGCCAGTCGCCCAACATATAGCTCTCACGGTAGCCCAACAACGACATTAGATGTTCCCGCCAGGCCGCAGATGGGGTTACGGTCTGCCAGTTCGAGTAACATGCGATCTCAGGCCGCGCTTCATAACACCACTCTGCCCATCCGCGCTGCTCCAGCACCCAATGGATCTTCCACATCGTCACAATCATCAAATGGAGGACCATGGCGGCGAATGCGCGACATGATGGGAGCTGCACACGGCACTTAAACCCGTACATTTCCTGCGATATGGCAATACAGCTACCATCGACCATGATTTCTGGTCCATCTTGAATCAGCCCAACTCTCTTCTCTTCTATTGTCCATTATCCATTTTGCCTTGCGTGTTCGAGTCACTATTCCCGTCAGTGAGGGCAGTGCATTGGATTCTTATTCTCACTTTTCATTCTTGCATGCATCGGTCAGGCGTACAGTACCTTTTTTTCCCTTTTCGTTTCTATGGGCTTGTCATGGGATGTGATGTGATGTGATGTGACCAAATACTGTACATGCCATATTATATACCAGATATGTTTTCGTTGTTGGACTTTGTTACGCACATTTGCTGGATGTGCAGATCTGTCTACTGCATATAAAACAATCCATACATATTCGTACATGTACATTTTTCGATTCGTCTTGTTTCTCTTCGCCCTGGTAAGAATTGATAAACACTGATAAAGTTATCTTTCTCCACCAGCCCCACAATCTGCAGGATAATGCCAAGACGATCTTCCCAGAATAGAAACCATACGGGCGTTTGTATTCTCCCAAACAATCTCGCGCTTTGGGTTCATTCTAACAACACACCAAGCAAAATCAATATGAGAATTACCACCAAAAGTAATCCATGAAATGGCAGCTTGATCAATCGCTGTGGTGAAGTCGTTTGCATTTGTGGTTTAAGTTTAACCACAAACTTTCTAAAGCACTCTAATATGATATCCTGGTCATTCTTTAGGTAGCGCTTTTTCATCAACTTCTCAAAGGTCGATGGTATACCTGCCAGAGTCTGATGTAGTTTTTCTTTTTTTTTTTT